AGTTATATATTAGTTTAAATTTCGTTATTTAACAGCGTAAGCTAGTCGAGGCAGGTCTCAACTCAGCAGGAAGTTATCTAGATAATCGAGTCTGAGATGATGGAAAATGTTGGGCGGTCGCTGAGACACGTTCGAAATTCAACGCTTCTCGCAGAATTGGATGCAGAAGTGATTTTCACTTTCTCCGAAATTGTTAGCGAGAGCGAATTAATTCTGCGAATAAATATCAAGAATCGTTCTATATTGCGCGTTCTCTTCCTGGTCATATCTTTTTACGTAAAATCACGTTGTTTTCCTCGCGCGATGGTCGGTCGCTCGATAGCCGTCGCATCCTTTCAGGCCGATAGTTTGGTCCCGCATCCTTTGTTCGCGCGATCCCGAGATCCCGGCTCGGAGGATGATGCACATCCCGCGGACGGAGAGAGTTCGATGCGGCGTTTTTATCGCGAACTCGCCCCACATCCTGTGACTCGCGCCCGCACACTCGCCACAAAGTCCGTGAACTCTTTTCCTACGTAAACGGATTAATTCCCCCCTTCGGGGTCGCGCGAAGCCAAAGGGGTCGCTCCCCCTTCGGCCGGAACGAGCACACGGTAGAATTCGGTCGCACGAAAATGGCAGGACGAGGTCTCGAGCGTACTTAATCCCGTCGACGCCCCCGGTCGGCGGAATGTTCGAGGGTACAAACAAGTCTCTTTTATCTCGCGAGGGTTCTCTCCGCAAACGTTTCTTCTTTTCATATATATAGGGATACACGCAGGGATTTCGTGGAATTCATTTATTTATTTTTTGCAAAATTTCTAGGAAATCTACAAAAAACCGGGATATCGTTAAATGAATAAAAATACTTAATGTAAATATAATTTATAAATATAAATTAATAAAAATTTTAACTTACAATTTCACTGACAGAATGTAAGATTTTGCGAAATCACTAGTAAGACCGTGTAATTTTTATTCATTCCATAATATCCCGATTTTTTTGTGGATTCTCCAGGAATTTTGCAAGAAAGCGAATTACACGAAATTCTTGCAACTCGTCGACGAAGATTAGCATGTGCGAGCCGTCGCTCGTGAAGAGTTTCTTTCCTCGGGGAAAAAGGCGCCAGACTCGGCCGGACAGACAAATAAATAAGGAGAATATAAATAAAAGTATACGCATCGGCGCGAGAATCGCGTTTCATCATATCGTGCACCGTTATTTTAGACTCGTGCGATCGCTCGCGTCTAACAGCCGTCGTCCGCTGTTACGCGACTCGCCCCATTAGACGGGTTTCGCGAATTCACATACATACATGCGTATGTGAATGCACGCACACGATCGCCTCCGTTCCCGCGTGTGCGTACGTCTCGTCTGGCTCCGAACAATCGCGTTACGTTCACCTCTGTCGCCGCGGTCTCGCTTACGAGAATGCCGTAACTGCTAACTCGGCGACACGAAAGTTACTCGCGCACGTTTGCTCGACGATAATTATCACGGCGCGACTCGCGAGGGATTCGCAGGAGCGAACCGTGTCTTTTAGCGTGTCTCTGAGAAAAATCGACTTCCCGGGCGCGTAACGCGCTCCAGAAATAAGTCACCGCGAATGCATAATCCGGGCGGAATAATTACCCCGGAATAATAATCAGAGTGAAAATTTGAAAGCGTACGTTAATTATCGCGAGACGTGATGATACGCTGAATTAAAATCTGCATGGCTTTATTCCGTATATACACTGGTGTTAAATTCGTAATAGTGTTGAATTATATCTCAATTTGAATTATTTTTAACCATTCTTATAGATCGTCCTTGCTATTTACAAAAACAACATGTCATTAATTTAACTAAACCAATGAAGTTAAAATAATACTAAAAGGAATTATGTTACGCTCGATGAAAGCAATAGCTAATATAAAAGTAAAAGATGATCAATTTTTGAGCAATAATAAAGGTGTTAAAAAATAAATGGTTAAAACGAATGATTTATTAAAAATTTGAAAGTTACAATAAGTTGTTTACGTTTCGAGCCATACTTGGGCTTCTTCAGAACGTCAAAAACAAACTAGAAATCACATTAAAAAGATAGAAATAAAATAATTAGATACAATTTAATGATAGGAGAAAAACCAAAATAAAATAATAAGTTTAGACACACATTGTAGTTAAAAGTAACAAAGTGTTATTTAACCCTAGAATCCATGATACATTTTTTTGACCTTCTAATCCATGACTGGGGGCAATATCGACCCCACGCTTTATTTGATCGTAAAACCGGTCCTACAGAAATAAAGGGCCTTTAAACCTACATGAATTTCTTCGTTTTTTAATAACGAAGAGAATGGTATGCGGTAAATTTAATTTTACTCAAGTTTAGTTAGTGAAAAATCCATTTAAAGACTGAAAAACGCAGAAAATCAGCAAAAACCTCTTTTTTTAAACAAAAATTTGTATCTTTTTTTGTAATCAACCGATTTTAAAATTTCAAACGGGGTTTTAAAGAGGACACATTAGACTATTAGAAAAAAATTGTCATCGCTATGTTCTGTTCAAAAAGTATATTTATTTGGGACTATAAAGATGAAGAAATTCGCAAAGTTGAAATACGGAAAAAGTCGATGAAAAAACCATAAAAAATTGTATTTTAAGTATTATTTCATTTTTATTTGATACAAAATAGTAAAAAATATGAAAAAAATGAAACATTATATCGCCCAGCCATTTTCTGCGAAACGTCAATCTTCTTAGGCAACGGGATTTTTACCGACTAAATTGTGTGATATTTCGTCTTAAATAATATTTATGACTATTTATGCTCAGATTACGTAATAATACATGATATATATTGATTCTAGCGAAAAAATAAAATTAGCTTACCGTGACGAAACTCAAACGGCAAGTCACGACTGGGGTCGATATCGACCCCACGCCCGCTTTACGACTGTGCTACTTCACTGCTAGCGAACAACTAACGCTGCGCCCGACATAACCCTACTTTTAGAAAGTTGAAATGAATTATGGTTCAGGTCCTGAGTCGATAATGTCACTCGCTAGCTCAGGAGCGTAGTTCAAAGTTCGCCTGGGGTCGAAATCGACCCCAGTCATGGATTCTAGGGTTAACTCAAGGTATTGGTTTAAATTTTATTCTTTAATATTTAACAGTATAGAAACGAAAAGAAATGGAAATGAGAGAAGGGAGGAGGAGGTGGCGAAACACTATGCGCGCTAATAACGCGAGTTATTTTCACGTGGACGCGCGGTTTGCGGTCGAACGATTAGATTCTTCTTGGAGCATCGCTCTAATCGGTCTAACGTTACGGCACTTCCGGTCGCCGTTCAGCGAGCCGTCCGATTCGCAATGTGAATCATACGCGCGCGCGAGTCACGTCATGACAAAAACGTGAGGCGAACCGTATGTTCGACACGTGCGCAGCGTCTGATTCATGTACTTTACTCGATCGCGAGGCACAATTTCCGGTCGTAAGCACGCGATTGAAATTTTGCCGGGTGAAACGGCGCGCGGGCGGTTCGTGGAACCGTCGAATGCTCATCGACGAAAACCGCTGATGGTCGATATTCCGAGCGAAATCCGCGGCGATATCGACACGCGTCCTCGTTCGACGAAATTACATCCCATTTGCACTGCTCTCGATAGAAAATTTCCCCGTTGCGATATCGCGCTGCGTACCGGGGAGGCATGAGCGATGATTATGCGGCAGGCATTTTTCACGCGATATCAGATTGGTGGAACGCGCAAATCGATATTTAACGCTGTGGCATCTTATTCGAATGATGGAGTCTTTATTACCACGTTGCCTGCTTGACAAACTTTTGTATGTTTTTGTACAATTTTCATTATTATGATGATAAAATGTTGCTTAAGGAGTTTTGTAAGGAGAATCAGAAATGTTAACAATTGCATAAAATTTAAAACATAAACGTTCCTGTCTAAATATAATGTGTATTTTTTTTAGATTTTTTCACCGGTTAGTTTTTGAGAACATTTATATTATAATACAGTTTAAGATTTTTTAATAAGAGTTCTTTAATAAGCTACAGACTTGATGCTACATTAATTAACAACGAAAATGACTACTAAAAATGTTAAGATACCTCCAAAGATAAAAAAATATAATCACATAGTTTTCTTGCACCGTGGCAGAATTGCAGTAATAAATCTATATATTAAAACGTGCATGTAATAGAAATTTACTTAAACAGGACAACGAAAACTCAGCACCAAGTAGATAAACTTCTTTTATCATCGTATCTCAAGTACATACGTTGGCTTTAAGTGTTTTTTTTGTCTAAAATACACATAGATAATTACGCGATAAAGCTTTTACCGTGACATTAAAAAATCCTGAACTTTGTTATAAATGTTCTTAAAAATTAACCGGTGAAAAAAATCTAAAAGAAATACACACATGCTGACATTATTCATGAAGAAGCTTATGTTTTAAATTTTATGCAATTCTTGCTAAATTATACATCATAAATAGCACACTTTACATTATTATCTAACTACTAATATTATTTAAAATTGTATATTGGATGGCGTTTGTCTTTCGTTTGAAAAATTAGATAGCACTGATCGCCATCACATAGCGATCAACGCATTAAATTAACAACAGCATAGAACCCGATAACGCGTTCAACGGAAACTCGACTCGACGCGCGAGCTTATTTAGCATCGAATCAAGATCGGCAAGCTGACACCGCGCCGTACGGCAAGTGGCTCGCTGTGATTCATTACGGACGGTGCAGAGTGTAAAGTCGAGCATGTACAATGTACACGATACAATATAAGTTTCCTCTGGAGCGATTAAAAGTCGCGTTGTAAGGTCCAGTAAAATGCGCAGCGTTTCTAACTGCAAAACTCCGCATAGCGACTACTAGTGCGAGTAATCGCGTGTATACGTATATTCGTGCAAACACTTTGCAGTCGTACGTAATTCGCGAGGTAAATCGCGTTGCGACACACACGCTAGCACGCGTCAACACGACACATTTTACTTTCAGATCTGTAGACGGACGGACCGTCCTGCTTTTCGGGCGCTGAGAGAACGGCTGCGATCCGCGGCGTGCCGTGCAGAAACGTTATAGAGATTAATCGCGAGGCTAACGCGATGGGACGGCGATAGCGCTCACCAAGTTCACCAAAGTTGTATCGATCAGCCGGAATGGGGTCTGCAGTGTGGTGGCTGATCGTGGCCGTCGTCGCGATAATCTCGACGGGGGAAGCCCTTGAGGGACCGAACATATGCACCCGGCAGGATACGTAAGTATTCAGGAATTCGGGAATCGAATTTTTAATAATTTGTCACAAATTTGCAACACCTGTTCGCTTATCAAATAACGTATGTTATATGTTATTTTAGATATACGATAACGGTGAAAGTGTCCGAGCAGAAACCGTACACCATACGGGAGAACACGTGGTGCTTGAGCTTCCCACCGAGATGTTCCAAATACAAAGTTGTCTACAGAACAGTCTATAAGGAACAGGTTCGTTATCTAATCTACAAAGTACTTTCTAATTTTACGGAGAGGTTTGATCTAGATTTTTGTTTCCCGTTCGCTATCGCAGAGCGACAGCAAGCTCGGAAAAGAAAGCTGCGGAGAAACGGTTATCGGTGGAACGGCACGAATTACGGATTCGTAACTGCGCGTTTTCTTGCAGGAATTGACGAAACAAAGGCCCGTGGAAGAATGCTGCAAAGGCTACACGGAGACCACGAGCGGCGACCGTTGCATTCCAGTCTGCTCCGAGGATTGTCGCCACGGTACTTGCATCGCGCCCGACATCTGCAAATGCGAATCGGGATACGGCGGCCCGTTATGCGACTTCAGTGAGTGCAGAGCGATCATTTTTCTACTAACGATAACGGCGGGACACGCATTCCAGCAATACCTGCTGACTCGAGTACTCTTTTATTGCGCGTACGCTTCATTTGCGACGCAACAACCCGAAATGAATAACAACGTGTCAGAATAACACGTACAAAGATAACGAACATATGAAATAACGAAACTATTACTAAAGACGTTGTATGTAATTTAGCGATAATGAGACTTTGCGTTCAGAACAAGGAATTAAGAATACGTAATCGCGAGTCACGTTTAACTAGATACATTTTTATTGCGTTTAAAAAGTCACGTTGGGTTTTCCTGGAATAACTACGTCCAAGAATTATTTTTAAAAATTGATGAAAGAAATACACGGTAACTTCTTGCGCCGACGAGGATAAAAAGTTCATTTAAGCGGCATGTACACGAGATTATTTTTAACTCTCATATGAACAGGGTGCCCGTTGGGTAAATGGGGCAGAGATTGCGAGATAGATTGCAAGTGCCAGAACGGTGCCACGTGCGATCCATTCGACGGCAAGTGCATGTGTACCAGAGGCTGGACCGGCGTGTACTGCGATCAAAAGTGTTCTTCCAACCGCTACGGGCAAGATTGCGTCGAAGAGTGCCGTTGCAGAAACGGTGGAAGCTGCCATCATATCTCCGGCGAATGTCATTGCGCTCCCGGCTACACCGGACCACTGTGAGTTGCAAATTTTATTGTAGACCACCGCAAATATTTATTGAGGAATCTTGTTCACATTACCGCTCAAAAATATCTGTCCACATCTGTCTACACTCTATACAAATCTGTCTATACATACCTTCACATTTATCAAAAAGGTTTCTCTAGAAGGATTTTGTCCTCAAAAAATAATAATCATATATATAGTTAATAAGACTTGTGTCGATCGTTGACAATCATTATGATGACTGCTGTTGTGTTGCACAGATGCGACGACTTGTGTCCGAGGGGAAAACACGGCGACGAATGCAAGTCGGAGTGCCGTTGTCAGAACGGTGGATCCTGCAACCCCCAGACTGGCGAATGCTACTGCACATCCGGCTGGACGGTAGGCGAGATTTTGCGCAATCGAATACGAAGTGTATCTCGCGACGCACACGTTTACAATTCTACATTTACAAATGTAATATTTGTCACAGGGTTCAGTTTGTGCGAATCGGTGTCCGGAGGATTTTTGGGGGAAGAACTGTAGTCGGACCTGCGACTGTTATAACGAAGCCGGCTGCAATCACGTTACGGGCGAGTGTCAATGCAAACCGGGTTTCTATAGCGATAAAGTACGTCAACGCTGATTATTCTGACTAATTATATTAATGCATTTTTTAAATCAAAATAATTTATATCTTATTTTTTCATTAACAGTGTCTGAAGATCTGTCCTGAGGGCACGTTTGGACTGAATTGTACAAACAATTGCACCTGTGAAAATGATGCTACGTGCGATCCTAGTAACGGTACCTGTGTATGCGGTCCAGGTTGGAAGGGTAAAACGTGCAATCAACGAGCCTGCGAGGACGGCTTGTACGGTTCCAATTGTGCAAAGGTGAGTCGTGACTTCTTGGAAAGCCACTCTTAAAAATTTACACGATGTCGTCTCTCACTAACTGTAAATTAAACTTAATTCGCAGGTTTGCGAATGCGAGAAAACCAATACGGAGCTATGTCATCCGTGGACCGGACAATGTTCCTGCAAAATGGGATGGGACGGCGAAACCTGCGCCAGGCCGTGTCCCTTCTACACGTTCGGCAAGGGTTGTGAGCATCGTTGTAACTGCAAAAACAACGCGCAATGTTCGCCCATCGATGGCACTTGCATTTGCGCGGCCGGATATCGTGGAAAGGATTGCGGCGAGTTGTGCCCCGCGAACACGTTTGGGGAGGACTGCGCGCAGAAGTGCGCCTGTAAGAATGGAGCCAGCTGCTCGCCTGAGAACGGACGCTGCAACTGTACGGCTGGTAAGCGCGGTTTTACGCAACTCGGATGATCATATTCGATGGCTTGTAATTATAAACTCATTTAGAGGATTTTAGATGCATTTATAGTTACGGAAAAGAATTAAATTACAGAAGAAATAGTCAATGTTAGCAATAGTATGAAACTTTTAGGTTTAAATGTTTGATCGTTCTTAATTATATTGTCTCTTGTCAGTATTATTTCAAAATTATTCTGCATAACGTTTTTGCATGGTATCAGACAGCTTCATTTAATATTTTTCATACTCATTTTCATTGCTTGTCTGTAGAACTTACCATACTTTACTTTGTTAGTGGGATTACTAGTTACGTAGTAGAATTATTTATTAAAGTCTTGCTATGTATTTCCGATGGAGAAGACATTCGACATCGGTAAGTACGACACAGAATATACGTATCTCTGACATTTTACCAGGATGGGTCGGTGTTTTGTGCGACCGTCCGTGCGACGACAAGACCTACGGCAAGGATTGCGAAGGCAAATGCAGCTGCTTTAACAATGCGGCCTGCAACCCGCAAAATGGTAAGGTATTTGAGTAGTGACTCTTCCGGTTTGAGTCTTCGCGATGGGACCAGTAAAATTTTACATCGATATCATTAAAAAAGAACATGTACAAAGAAATACGCGAATTCCTATCTTTAACCGCTCTCTTAGCACTTGCACCCAGAACACGCGTTATTTTATCTAAACACACGCAGGCACGTGCACGTGTGCGGCTGGTTTCACCGGCACACTGTGTCAGGATCGTTGTAAAAAGGGCTTCTTTGGAAACGGATGCAATCAGAGTTGCGACTGTGTCGAGGAGAATACCGTGGACTGTGACTCCGCTACCGGGTACTGCAACTGCAAGCCAGAATGGCGAGGTTTGTTGAATTTTTTACCACGTCCGCGCGCGCGCGGTCACCAATCAAAAACTTTGCACGTCGAGATCAACATCTTACGTCATTCTTGAAAAGAAAAATTATAGTTAAAAACGATTGTGAAGATTATTCATAAACGTAGCTGTGTCATACATATTACGAGTTTAACAATAGAGATATAAAGAGTAAAAAGAAGTAATAGTGTAGAAAAAGCTGCTCTTAATGGTAGTTAACAAAGAGTCGTTTCTCGAGACGGGTTTGCTTTAACGTCAAAACAGGAATACGATGCGAAACAAAGTGCCCGGAGGGTCTTTACGGCGAGGATTGTCACTCGCATTGCGATTGCATGAACAATAGTTCGTGTGATCCCACGACAGGAAGTTGCGTCTGCGCCAGGGGTTGGGAGGGCCCTGATTGCTCGCAACCCTGCAAGGAAGGATGGTACGGGCTGGGATGCAGAGAGAAGTGCCCGGCGAAAGTTAACGGTAAAGAAGATGCAATATCCAAGATTTAAATGCATGACATATTGTTTGAGTGTAACACATTTAATTCGCATGCTTTTTGAACCGATTAATTGTGTTTCGTAGGCAACATAAGATAAATGTATTATCACATCTTGTAGCAGATTGTGTTATGTTTAATATCTTAATCCTGATTTTAATATTATTCTTACAATTGTCATATATCTCAATAATCTTCTATTGTTCCGATGCATAAATCGGAATGCTCGGTCAGTCTCTCTCAGGGAACATATTTTTACGTAAGTTTGCCCATCCGTCGCGACATATATACACTTCGATATATTACAACCTGAAAGGAATAAAAGAGAAGAAATTGGATTAAATTGTAAGATCAATTCTCCCGCTTACACATTGTAACATTCGCAGATATAGATAGCACATGCTTGGATGTGGGTTTTCTTTTATGTAATTTGCGGTATAACTAACAGACATCTAAATTAATAAATAGTTTGACCTTTGCTTGCACAAACGCTAACACTCCATTTCGCTCTGTATTACCAAAAGCTTTTATTGTCGGGCGCTTCATTGAGTGATTTTATTAATCATTAGTTTATCTGTCTTACATATATTCAATTAATGCGAACATTGTGAAAAGGATAATAATTACAAAGGACGTGTCGTACACTGAAAAATTAAAATAGGCGATAAAATTTTGCTATAGAAATTCCTCTACGTTATTGTACGTTGTGGTAAAATTCTTCAGTATTCTCGTTTTTTTCCTTAGAAAATCTGACTTGCAATCACGTTACCGGCCAGTACGTTTGCCGTCCGGGATACCTGGGTCTCACCTGCGAACATCCGTGTCCGCCCAATCGTTACGGGCTAAACTGCGCGAATCACTGTCACTGTAAGAACGGCGGGGAATGTCATCACGTAACAGGCAAGTTGAAAGCTGACGAAAAATTTTACGGAGATATACAGTAATCTTCTGAATACGACTACTTGAAATTCTTGTATTACCGAGGTGTATTTCCTAATCAGGTGTATGCCAATGTCGACCTGGCTGGCAAGGCGAGTACTGTCAAACACCCTGCGCGGAGGGTACGTACGGCGTTAATTGTACACAACATTGCAAGTGTCAGAACGGCGGTAAATGCAGATCTAACGATGGCCATTGTCGATGTTCGCCAGGATGGACCGGGACCAGTTGTAACGAAAGTAGGTTTAAATAAAAGCCGTAGACTGTTACGACCAGTAAAGAATGATGTACCAAACGATGCTATATATTGATAAATTATATTTAAATGCAACGCTTGCCGATTGCAGTTTGTCCCGAGGGATACTACGGTGACCATTGTATGGAGCCTTGCGAATGTAAAAATGACTTCTTCACGTGCCATCCAGCCGAGGGTTGTATTTGCAGGCATGGATATACAGGTACGTAAAGTACACCCTTAAAGAAGTAGGTAATCCTGCAAGAATTGAAGTTTCTTAAAGTGACTGAGAAATTACTCTTAGGTGAGAATTGCGACGAACAACTGTTCTCCCGCAATATCCAAGAGAAGGACGACGGAGGATATGGGCACATTGTCGGAGTCGTATTTGCGACTTTTGTTATAATAGGTGTTTTGTTAGCTGCATGGATGTACCATCGGCGCAGAGTGGCTGATCTCAAGAGTGAGATAGCTCAAGTGCAATACACGGCTGAGCCTGTATCTCCGCCAGGTAAATTAAGCATTTCCTATCCCTGATCGAAAGTTTATTTATCGGAGACAATCATCGAAGAGCTTGATCTTCGAGCAGTGAAATCTAAAATATTACTTTTGCCGTAGAACGAAATCAATTCGACAATCCGGTGTATGCATATCAAGGTTCCTCGAAGTTCGACGATGGCACTACTACATTGCTGAACAACTTCCAGTTCCGGAATAATTTCCACAAGAACATAAATACCGAGAAAGCTAAATTTGGCCTAAATAGCTGTACCGATGACGAAGACGATTGTAAAGGTATGGCATGTTTATTAACGACACAATAAAGAAAATTTTGCAGGACGACTACATCAATTTATATGTTACAACTTAGGAGCGTACGGATTGGAATACGACCTGAAGAACAGGGACGCCGATATGGGAAATCCAAACTTAAACGTGTATCACAGCATCGACGAGATGGACGGCAAGAAAGTCGAGCACGTCTACGATGAGATCAAGCAGAACAACGAGTCGGAATATGACGAGTTGAATCAGCCGCGGCCGGTCAGTTGGAATATAAAGCCACAATCGAGTCGGACAGCCAATGGCTTCCTGCCTAAATTACGCGACAGTCCGGGACCTAGCAAAGCGATAGACAAGGATCCGGAATTAGGTGAAACCTAAAAAATCCACACAGCGTTCCTCGTTTCTAACTGCCCAGATTTGAAGTAGAATGAACTTTATTTACGTTCGGTCGGAAGACTGTCCGCTTTCTGTAAGGAGCAAGTCTGTGGTATTACTTCTACCATTTAAGCAAATTTCTTGAGTAAGTCTTCACAACATAATTACGGATAATTATGAAACTCTAATTTCATAAAAATTATGTTGTATATTTTATATATAAAATCTATTTGCGCACTTCTCGTGTCTATATTTGGCAAAGTACGGCAGTATTACGAAAATATTATTTCGTATGCGAGACAAGAAAAATGTAAAACAAAAAATATTTTCTGGCATGCTCTTCTTTAATATTTAGATTTTACTTGAGATATTATCGATCTCTCTCATTTTCTCATTCGCCACGGATCATTGCAATGAGAAAATGAACGTTTCTGTATATATAAACATATTCTTTTTAAGTATAATTTTAATTAAATTATTAAATATCTATTTGATATATACGTGCATATGTTGCCAAAACGGGCATAAGTAGTTTAAGAAGCTGGCAATGATAAACATGTGATAAATCAAATCATGTGAATAGAGTTTGTCAATACACAAAGATTAATATTGTGGAAGATCGTTTATATATCTACATTTTTTTATTCGTCGAACGGTTATATCAATATTGCAGTGGTTATAAAGACATTTAAAAGAATTCTACTAATTGTTGATCAATTTATAATTTAGTACATTAAATAAATGATGCGATCTTATTTACAGTGAACGAATGCAATAAATGCAATAAATTAGGTAACATATTGCATTAAAATATTATGTAAAAATTAGACGATTACTATGAACGTGGCGTATTCTTACGTATGCAAGAGAAAAGTAGGCAGGCTTAATTTTCACCATTTATACTCTACTTAGTTGTAACACAATAATTGATTATCAGTTAGATATATTCAGAAGACGTGCATGTAAATTTTAAATGCCCATTTTTTTACGTTTCCTTTTTCAAGGAAAAATAGTGTGCAAGGTGTCATGGGGTATGTCGTTCATTCCGTTTATCTTGCAATCATCTTGTGATATAATTCTATCTATTTTGATAAATCTAAATGAAAAGCATATTAGTCTATACCGGTAACGTATAATTGATATTTAGATTGAGAAATACGATCGTGTGTATTCTAAGCAGATAAAAACATTTGCAGGATAAATACAAGTAATAGAACAAATTTGTCTGTAAAGTAAGATAGTGATCAGTGTGATAATACCGTGATGTGCATTGTTTACATGTCAACGATTAAGAAAGATATTTTAATAAAGGTTCACGAGACATTTTATTGTGGTCATACGTAGACAATCGTATAATGTAAAAACACTTGTTCTACTGCTCCTCCATCAAGTTATAATTTAAGGAAAGTAAAGTCCGGTACTTTTTTTGTTGCGTGCGATATTGCCTTACATTCTCGACCATCTAAGGTCTGTCATGTAATTCACGAATCGACGTATGGCGTGAAGGATTCAAAAATCACGTATTCTGGTTATACAGTTCGCATTACACGGAGCACACGTACCTATTCTTAAGATTACTTCGTAGGAACCTTTCTTATCATTTGGAATCAATCATCGCCAGTTTTCATCATCGATATTAACGCCTTGTAAATATATTTCTGCGACGGATCGCGGCGCATTGTTTTTGTAATGATTTTTGTTAGTCCTCTCTCAGCCTCCGTGCTCGTATGATTTCCCAAATGGGCGGCACGATCCAGTAGCATCCGCCGAGAAACTGCAGCAACGCGACCGCACGAAGACACGCGTTCTCCTCTGCGGTTGTAAATTTGAAAACAAATCTTTAGATTATGAGTTTATCTTTGTTACTGTCGTACCCGCGGCGCATCACGCGTACCGAAGAAGCGAAATTTATAAATCTCTGTAAAATTGTAAGAGGAAAGAATAAATAAATAAAAAATCGATGTTACAAAAATACATACTGTGCACGAAGCAGAAGACCAGCACGTCCAGTTCGACGATAATGGAGAACAATCTGTGCGAACGATGTGCGATTTGATTCTCCAGTACGTCGCGACGTCCTCGTCCGGTTCCTGATACGCGTATAGATGCTGTTCAGTTCACCTCGCTAAACAAAGGCTGCACGACATTTCTGTCCCGTTTGTCGCCGTTATCCCGCCGCGCCGATCCGACTCCGACTCTCTATGTTCGGATGTCCAATTCGTTATCAAAAGCAACCATCAGTTGACGCAAGATTACGCAGCGTTAGAATAGATTCTTTAAGCTAAATTTCAGAATGACAATTCTGCTTTAATTAGAGGTCGACGCGAAAGTTTTAGAAATGGGGCGAGAATGTCACCTGCCCGTCGTTACCTGTAAAAAGACGCTCGCTGCGGAGCTGGAAAGCGCAAGGTCAGAGATCCTGAATCAGGATGCCGACGACAGTCTCATCCTGAAGTCTTCGACTGGTTCACCGAACGCCGAGCAACGGCATTCGACGCTACCTCTTTCTCGTTGGCTAGCATGGCATTATGCAAAAGCATTCTAAAGCTCTTTATCGTCTCATTTGAACCGAAAGAGCATGCTTCACATTAAAGGACACACAACAATGTTAAAATAAATATATTTGTCGATATTCATCCATCGTTCATCGCATTTCGGAGCTTCTACCTTTACGAGCGGCGTCTAACGACATTCGGCGTCGAATCTCTTTCTCGTTCGCTAGTATTATATGCAACAGCATTTTAAAATTTTTTTTCGTCTAATTTTATTTGAAAAAGCATGCTTTGACTTAAAAAAGCATTTATCAATGTAAACATTATGGCACATTTTTTAACAATTGTTTAATTTCATACTCTGATTTAGAAAACTCCGTTCTTCTCACCAATTACATTTATTCAGTAACGTTTCAAAACTTTTTATTTTTAAATTTTTGATAAGCGTGCCATTTATTAGCACTAACATTGTAATGTTAACATTTTCTTTGTATTTTGACTAACATAAATCCGATAATCACTAAGATATTATATGTATATATATATTTCAAATAAATTAAAATGCAAATTGTTCGTATACCAACGAAACTGATTAATTGGACGAAAGTTGTCTTGCGTATAAAAAATATTGTAGTACTTGCAATATTTAATTTGTGTTAATTAATATAACAGGTTGTATACTAATATTTAAAGAACACTTCGTTGTTTGAAGAAAACATGTTCATATAAGTATTACAGTTTGTTATATTGCTAATCTTGCAAAATATATGTTGCTACATTTTGCGTGGGCGTGCATTCTTATCATACATATCGCTATGCACTTGTTAGCATGAGATCCTAACGTATCTCTTGATAAGCAAATGTAATTATTACTAATTATTAAATACATTAATAATTTAATAAATAACGCAATACTAACATTAAATTATTATTAAGTATTACTGAGAAATATATTATGCATTTGTTGAGACGCTTGAAAGATCATAAAAAAATATGAGAAAAATAGTTTTAGTTTATGAGAAGAGCGAGTTTGGAGTCGTCTGTAATTCCTCAGAAATCGCTCCTGTTACGCGGGAAGCATGATGAGCAAGGAGGTTGCAGGTTGCAGTAGGTATTCGAACAGCGACACGCCTACCCCCACTTATTACCCGTCGCCATTGGAACGGCTCGGTGCGCAGATGCCCCTCCCACGGCCAATCAGAGCGTAGCGCTGGCGGGTATGCTTAGAGGGGTCTGAGGCTCCCGCGCTCTGACCAATAGCAGCGTGACTGAGCGGAATACCTCCGTCAACTTCCTTGCCTAACATGCTATGCTGATACTTTTACTGATTTAAACGGAGTTTTCGACACCGAGAATCGCCATTTTCGCCTAATATTTTAATAGAATGTGCATTTTCAACCATTTTTATGATCTTTTGTGCATGTCTACAATACGATCAAATTCTTTTATTGTTTAATTTTAACTACTAACATTAAAATATAAAATTTCTTTTATTATTATTATATTATTTAAATAATTCAATTAAATTACAAATAATATAATTGACGCGTATGCGGCAATTATAAACTTTCTAATCAACTCATTTCTCACGCAAAACGTGACATCATAGCGAATTGAAAGGACCCGTAATATGTGTTTTTTGCGAAACAGCCAGATATAACTTACATTACTTTGTTAAAAAAATCTCTAATTATTTAAGCAGGCTATAATGCTAACTCCTTTACTCTTACCCCTATTCTTATTCCTTACTCCACGTTTACTCCGTGTATTGTAGACGACGCTTAACAAGTTCGTGAATAGTTATTTGTGTAACAAGTGCGGGAAGTTGAGAATTGGACACGAGTGCGGAGTGGACGCACGAGCCGAAGGCGAGTGCGATCACCCGCACGAGTGCCCAATTCTTATCCCGCACGTGTTACACACCCTATTTTATATTACAAAGTGCGTGGAAAGTGACCCATTATTGCGCGCGCGTCATTGGCCACTTTTCACGCACGTGTGATATAATAGTTATTTGTGTAACAAGTGTCGTAGGATGAAAATTCCCGGGTGCGGTTACCGCACTCGCCTTCGGCTCGTGCGTAAACTCCGCACCCGGGAATTTTCATCTTTACACACGACTTACACTCCCTATTTTATGTTGCAAGTGCCTGGAAAGTGGTCTATCACGCACGCGTAGCGTGCGCAATGGGACACTTTCCATGCACGTGTTGCATAATAGTTATTTGTGTAACAAGTGTCGTAAGATGAAAATTCCCGGTTACCGCACCCGGGAATTTTCATCTTTACACACGACTTACACTCCTTATTTTATGTTGCAAGTGCCTGGAAACTTGTTGCATAAACAATTTTATGTCACACGTGCATGGAAAGTGGCCCATTACGCACGCGACGCGTGCGTGATAGACCACTTTCCACGCACTTGCAACATAAAATAGGGTGTGTAACACGTGTGTTAAGTTGAAAGTTGGACGTGCGGGTGATCGCACTCGCCTCCGGCTCGTCCGTCCACTCCGCACGTCCAATTTCCATCTTACAGCACTTGTTACACAAATAACTAATATAGCGTTGTGTCAACGTATATTTTATGAGACTCGTTTAATATATCGGGCAACGGAATTCGTAGCTCCTTTCTCTCGTTGGCTAGCATTATAAAATAAAATTCTAAAATCTTTTATCATTTAATCTTGTTCGAGAAAGCATACCTCACATTAAAGGACAGATAATAATAAAATTAACGTATTTCTTGACATTAGTCCAGTGTTGTTCGTCACATTTCGGAGCTTCTATATCTTAAATTCCCGAGTGCCGGCCGACGCGACGGCACTCGCCACTACTCGTTACCTAGCATTATGCAAAACTATATTCTGAAACTTTTTATCGTTTAATGTTGTTCGAGACAACATAAAGGATACATAACAATGATAAGATGAATGTATTTTTCGAGATTTGTTTAATGTTGTTTGTCACTTTCGGACCGTCTTATACCTTCCCGCCAAGCGCGACTAACGGCATTCGTATAGTTTCCCTTTTATTCGTTGGCTAGCATTATGCAAAGACATTTTATAACCCTTTATCGTTCAATCTTGTTCGAGAGAGCATGCCTGACATTAAAGGACGCATAGCAATGATAAGATAAATGTATTTATCGAGATTTGTTTAATCGTTTGTCACATTTCGGACCGTCTTTCTGCCGAGCACGAGCGACGAGACTCGTAGCTTCGTTTTTTCGTTGCCTAGCATTATATATGCAAAAGCATTTTATAACCCTTTATCATTCATTCTTGTTCGAGAGAGCATGCCTCACATTAAAGGACACATAGTTGCAATTTAGGACATTGCTCGAGAATAATGGAAACATTATCAGGTGTTACAAATTCCACGTCTTCCAGATGTAAACGTTTCAAGTTTTTGCACTCCGCTAGTAAACAATAAAAATTGCAAAAATTGCTCACGTTTGCTGCACTTATGTTTTCTAAGTGATTAATATTTTCAAGAATGTATATTTTTTATGTTATTTATAATATATTTTCCATCTTACATATCGATATGCATAATAGCGATTAAGTCGAACATATATGAATACAGCGAATAAAGGAAATTAACGGAAATTTGACGAAAGCTAAATTAAAGATTAATCGGAAAAGCTAATAGATTTTTATACTCACTGTTTATGCGAAGTAGATTTAATTTATCCGTATAAAATGAAAAATCAAGAAAGAGAGAACATGTGGAAACACTGGGGAACACGCAGTCGGTGAGCACCACAGATACTAAACTGCGAGCAGTATGAGTTTCTTTGAGAATAACTTTATCCCTAAGGCGGAAAGGTAAAAAGGGAAAATTTTCGCCATTAAGTTCAATAGTGTGAAACTTTTCACTTTTCATGTTTTCGCGCTAGGGAAAAAGATACATGATCGATTCCCTGGATCGCTAACTCAACCAATCAGGATTGAGGCAAAGTGGAGGGAATATCGATGACCATTTTTTGTATGGCATTTCATGTACATACGTGTACCCTATGTTCCATTGCATGGCATATTAGACGCAAACGCTTCTTCTCACGAGGACAATTTATCAAAAGGCTGAATTTATTAATTCAATGAATCTTTCATGCGCCAGCGCTTTATTATATAAACTTGACCCATCACGAGAATTTAAATCCAAAACGATTTAAATCGTGATATAAGATTTATTATCAACTAACAATAAGTATCGATAATAAAAACTTAACAGATGCCTAT